TGTTCTCGGTGGAGGCTTTATTTGTAGGAAAGTTTATAAAAATGGCGCTTCTGTAATTGTTACTTTTGCACCTCAGTGTTTCATGAAGTTTCCTGAAGCAAGAATAGCCACTTCTCCAATGTAAAGGCAATCTGCTGTTACATGCTGTTTGCTGTTCAGCCGTCACATGGATGCAGGCCACAGAAGAGCAGGGCTCTACCATCTCTTTATGTGGTTATCATAGCCACCAATACCACGACTACCATTACTTGCTTATGTAATATTTCTCAGGTTCAGGCATATCAAAATTAGGGCTGTCACTATTGAATATATTAATAATCGAGTAGCCTAATTTGACAATTAATTGAGTAATCGTTAATATATAATATATTGTGGCACTTTGCAGATCCAGGCATCGCAGTGGCAGAAGAAGCGAGACAATTTCAAACAGGTTCAAAAACACAGGTTCTTTTATTGTAGCCCTTACAAAGACTAAACATAGACACCAGCCACTACACCAACACATATAACAGGGAAATACAGGAAAGTCAGACGCCAGATGGTAAGGCCCACACACGGTTACACAATTGCTAGACAGTCACCAGGATCACATAAGATTCACACCGGAAATGACATGCAACTTGCAAGCGTGCCAGGAAATACTATGTGGAGCCATTTGAGGATGCACTGTATGTGTTCAGAGCGCTTCAGAAGGACGGGGGGGGGGGGGGTGCTTCCTTTACTGCAGCTCTCTCCACTCATCTTGGCGGCCCTGGTCTGGGCTTCTGGCCAAAACCATGCCTGGTGGAGCAGACCTGCAGAATGATGTTGTGGAGAGCCCACTTCAGCAATACCAGCGGGACCACTGCTGGTGTCCCACTTCTGACACTGGCAGACCCAGGCGTTGCAGTGGCAGGAACGATACAAGACGGTTTCAAGGACTAAACACAGACACTAACCACTAGACCGACACATATAACAGGGAAACATTGGACGGTAAGGCACACACATGATGGGTAGTTATGCAATGGATAGAGACACGCAAGGATTGGACAGGATTAACCATAACACAGGCAAAGGCACACAAGACAACTGGGAACACAACAAGTATCTGTAATAACACAAACACAGCGGCTATTTACATGGCTCACAAGCATGCCAGGAAATGCTTGAGGAGAAGACTCTGAAATGTCTTGGGGGCCTTGGATGGGGCGAAATTGCCATATGTGGCTAATCTGGGGAAACTAAGAGGTTGATAACAGGCAATAGAGAGGGTAGATGAGGGGGTTCAGTGGCCCAGGGCTCACAGCCTGGGAGGCTATAGAGGAGTGTGATCTCATTCCGGTATGAAGCTACCTGTCCTTATGCAGTGCCACCTTCCTTCCTTTTTGCACCAGCTGCACCTGGCATACCACCTTCCCCATCCTCTCCAATACGCTGCATGGCCCCATCCACTGGCACTCCAGCTTGGAACAGCAGCTATTCTTCCTCCTGGGGCTATATACCTGGACTAGCTCTTCAGGTGCCCCCCCCCCCCCACTCCTCAGGTCATAATTTCACTTCTACCTCATGCCAGCTTTCATTAGCTGAGCCCTGGCAGAAGCATGAGCCGACTCAATGCTGTCTTGCAACTGTCTGGCATAATCATGACCAGGTGGGAGAGTAGGTATGTCCGGTTAATAGCCAAATGCGAACTCAGCCGGAGTTTGGAGCTCTTGCCCCACTATGAGTAGAGTAGGCGTGTATTGTGTTGAGTCCTGCACCGTCGACCTATAGGCCAAGAGCACAACAGAGGGGTAAATAAATATTTAAACCTTTTTATTTGCCATTTGCACAACTGTGTTGGAATTGTTCTCTTTGCCTACCTCATCTCACTCTCCACAGCCAACATGTGGCACCTCTGGAGCTGGGGGTTAAGGGGTTTGCTCAAGGGCTAACAGACACACACAGGCGCAGAGACTTAGTTTGCTGAGTCACTCACCACCCTTGCATGTCACAGTCATGCTGATGGTCTGCTGTCATCATAGCTAACTAGCGTACTGTTTGAACATTCCACCGACCCATTACTTTGTGGGTGTAACAGTGCTGTGTGGATCATCTCTGCCACACCAAATGTACCAAGCAGACCCTGTGCCAGAGCATCAGTTACCATGTCTGTCTGGCAGAGCATACATGTCTGGTTGCTTGGTAAACTAATCCATTACTGTGAGGACATAGCGGTTGCCTCTCTCAATGCGGGGGAAGGGATCCATAATGTCCACCGCTACTCTCTCCATAGGGGCCCCCACAGGATGTTGTTGGAGCTGAGCCCATGACTGATCAGGCAGACCCTTATAGGCTGTGTAGACTTCACAGTGAAAACAAAAGTCCACCACATCCTTCAGCCCCTTCCCCAGCACTGTATCACAGGCTGAAGATCATCATCTTGCCATTGCTGAGCTCTCCACTCCACCAGTTCAGAGACCTGGAGCATTTGGCATGACAGCTGTGCCGCTCCAGGATGCCCCATGAACAAGGAGATCATCCAGATATGCTCAAATGTAGCAGGCGCATTGCACAGACCAAAGCAGAGAACCTTAAACTGCCAGAGTCCCCTGGTAGTACAGAGAACAGTGGCACCTGCTAATACCCACTTCGGAGGTCTAACAAAACTCAGCCACCAGCTCCAGATTCTTATCAACCCAAGAAAGCTTCAACCACTGTCTGCCTCCTAGTCTGACAGAGCATAAGCCTTTGGCTTCATTATGGCAATGTTAGACAGAAGTATGTCAGTAATCGACTAAGGGTTCTGATGCAGAAAGAGGCGGGCAAAAAAGGGTATTCATTAACACTTTTACTGTAACTGGGATGCAAAAATAATTCAATCTGCTCAATTTTTGCTCCACTGTTTCAATCACTTTTCACCTAAGTTAGCACTAGTGGACAGTTCATACCTACAAAACAGTGAAGGAAATGAAGCAGTGTTTGTTCTACCTCCGGTGACTGAAAGAGTTCTGATTGAGTCCCTGCATCCTCAGGTCATTTTACAACTGTGCCATTCAGAGCATCCTACCCAAATACTCCACCAGGGGCACCTTAATGCATGGACTAAGACAGGCTGAAGCCCAGGGGCCTCCGCTAAAAATGGACCTCAACTGAGCTTGTTTTACCCCTCTCCCCCAGACATACTGTACACTGCAATCGTCATACACTGCATCCAACAGAAGTAATTGCTCTGTTATTCTTCATTGTATTTCTTTTATTCATCTGTTTCTAATTTGGAAACTATCATTACTACTGTAAGTTATATATTTATCACTTATGTATTCTAGTCATATTTTGCACTTTTTGTCACTGTTTTTCACTCTACCTGTACTATACCAAGTGTCAAGTGACATGATACTGTACATAAATTGATTTGTTTTGTGGCTGAGTGTGAACCAGCAAGGATAAGAATCAGCACCTCCGAATACAGGCAGCATAGGGAACAAGACAGGGGCACATGCTGGATGGGATGTCAGTCCAGCGCCAAGCAAACACCCTCACACACTTTGGGTAACCTAGAGACAGCTGCACAGCATGCCTTAGGACTGTGGAAGAAAAGCAAACCCAGAACATACAAGTTACACAAACTCCGCCTTACACCGGCAGAGATGGGATTCAAACCCAGGCATGAGGCTGCAGTGCTGGAGACATACATCTCCAAATGAAGACCTTTAATCGGTTTGTGTGTCACAAGAATAGAAAACAGGTGTAAATACAAACATTTTACTTTATCATTGCAATTCAGTTAAAGTGTAAAACAACTCACAATTATCAGTGTAATTTGGAAAGAAATTAATGGGTTCATTATA